GACTTCGCGCAGGAGAACCCAAAGTTCAGGTACCTTTCAGTCGAAGAGGTGGTGGCTCCAGCATTGGTCACCAATTTTGGGTGCTAGCTGTGCCAGAATTGAAGCTTCAGGGCAAGAGGTACTGCCCTTGTTATGTAAGTCTTTGTGCTGGCACCAAGGTGAACTGTTTGCTGCGCACTGTGGGGGTCACCGCATCGTTAGTTGGAAGCCTGGTGAACCTTCAACCTGCGTGCGAAGTGTTGCAGGTGAAGGCGCCACTGTGGCTGGAATCAATGACTTGAGACCTATGTTTGACCTGGCCATCTCGCCCAGCGGTGAGATGTTTGTGGCAGATTGGCAGAATCGGATGCTTCTTCGGTTTCAAAACGGTTCTGGAGACTTAGTTGTTGGCAACACTGATGCTGGCGCCCTGTTTTGCTCGCCCAACGGGGTTCTGTATGCATTGCGCCAGAATGGGAGAGCAGTGGCAAAGCTGGCGGGCTCCACGCTCGAGATTGTGATTGCATCCGAGAGCCTTCCGGCAGACATGAAGTTCAATGCGGATCGGGTGTTTGTAACCAAGGAAGAGGTGATCTATCTCTTGGATAATCTGAATAATAACCGTCGCATTCTGTGCATCAATCCAGCTGAGTCGTTGGAACCTGTTGTGGTGGGCCAAATCCCAACTGAGGGCCGGTCTTTCCTCACGGACCTGTTTGTAACTGACGGTGGAACAATTTATGTTGCTGCCGGGGATCAAAGAAAGGTGCTTGCCTTCCACCCAAGCAGCCCAACTTTCACAGAAGTCTTGCAGTGCCCAGATGGATTTCACCCTTTCGCACTGTTGGTTCAGGACAGGTCCTTGTATGTGAACATGCTGGCGCGGAGGTTGGATGCACAGTCCCCGGACACTGGGGGGCTTTACGAATATTGGTTACCTCCGGAGCTTCAGCTGTGAAAACAAGTCCTGCGGTGCCAGGGGGCTTCCAGGGGGCATCGGTTTGGTAGGGCATGTTGGCCGACTGATGTCGCCAATGCCTCCTAACAATTTCAAAGAACAGGAACAAGGAACCATGGATTCTTCCATTGATCGACTCATATGTGAACCCCCTTTACTTTACCCTATGTTTTTCCCTCGCCAGGAAAACACCCATATCATTGATCAGTGGGTCTGTTTTCAGTTTTTCAGAAATACATGATTTTTCCCACATGTGTTTCTGGTTACCCACCAACATTTCCTTTACCAATTCTGGAGGATAAATCCACCTCCAAAAAGCAATTCATGAGATGTACTAGGAGATCACGAAAATCTCTGGAATCAATGGGAATTCCAGGATCCTAAAATGGAGGTACTGCACCATATAAGGCCATATTTTGAGGGTATATTCCCTTACATAGGCCTTACATAGGCCTTATATATGGTAGATACCTCCAATCAATCGGTTCCTGAAATGACCATTGCTGGAATACTCTCTGGTACTCCGATCGATGATTTTCATTGATGTTCCTTCAACGACTGATCGATGGCTAAATAAACTTTAGCATAAAGACACAAAAACAACAGAAGAACTCCCAACACATCACGGCATATGAGATTCCATTGAGGCAGTTTGCCGGTATGATGACAGACACACACACAGAGACAGATGAACAAATGCACATACGTAAAATGTTGTTTGTACACACATACAAGAATCATACATGCATCCCAAATTACGCAGTTGATAACCACGGCAGACCCGGTCGGTTCATTCAATGATAGACGTCCACAGATATGGTTGGTACAGGGACCTCCCCAAAAATCACCTCGCATGTATGGAATGTCTTTATCTGTATCAATATCTATCACTTCTACGTCTGCCCCTCGCTCTCTTTATTGTATATACATGTTTCATCATGTTTCCACAAATCAATAAACAAATAAAGCACGGGGGAAACAGACAAAATGAACACATTGAAGTTTAGAGATCCCCATACTCGAAAGGTTTCTCCAGGGCTGTTGGGTTTGTTCACCCCAGCCATACCTGGACTAAGCCTACTGGGTGAACTAAGCCACAATTCCTGTGAACCATCAAGCAATCATGTTTATTCTTTGGATAAGATCCCTGAAGATGGCAAATAGTTTCTGAGTGGCGTATATGCCACAAAACAGCCAAATCTTGTACGTGATTATAACCAAAGGTTATGAATACATCAAGAGGTAAAGAAAGGATCACTAAAGCAATATACATCTCCAAATGTCATCAAATGTCTTGACATTCTTTTAATCCCCGCAACATCCCATATTTTGTTCACCAACCAATTTTTGGATCCAGCAGGAGCCGCGGCTGTCGAGCTCTCGGCGATGCCCAAGGTGCGCGGCTGCCGTTTTTGGCAAAACATGGTGAGAAAACGGTGGATTTGAACGGTTTTCACCTGCAAACAGTGGGGATTTGTGGAGCTTAAGAGCTTAATCACCAAATGGCATGGACATATCAGAGATATGATAGGTCTGGAAGGTATGGCATACCGGAATTGAAACGAAGGTATCACTATAACATCAGCAGACATGGTGGGAGACACCATATGCCAAGAAAATTCAAATCTGTGTTTGTTCTTGCAACCGGGAATCCCACTGAACGTTTGTAATCTTCCGGGTGATTTTAGCCTTAAATACGAGATGAAAGTGGTATTTCACGAAAACATCCAGGGGCACAATGTTCAATACTGGGAAAGTATCAACTGCACCGCCCCTTCAATCGTTTTCGATGACATATTCAGAAAAAATCAGAATGTATACTTGCAACGTTTTGTTCTGAAATCATCCGGGTTGCAACTGAACACTTGGTGAATGTGGTCAACGTAGCTGTTTCAAGCTTTGGATGTTCAACCCACTGCAGCGGCTACCAGCTTCACTACACAGTGTTGCCAGCTATAGCCTGTGGGCTTGTGGGATTGATATATTGGAATATGCATCTTATCATACATCTGCTGGATTTCCATTTGCATATATTTGATCACAAAACGGCAGAATCGGCATTGTACCCGATTTCCGGAGCGGCGTGTTGAGTGCCATGGGAGCTGTAAAGCTCGACCACTCAGATCCGGCCCAGCATCGGGCCGGCATCATGCAGCAGTTGCGACAGTTCTGGATGGACGACCATCTCTGTGATGTGGTTCTGAAGAGCCATGATGGTGCAGAGCATCGCGCCCATACGGCCGTGCTATCTGCCGCCAGCGTGTTTTTTAAGAATCTGCTCGGAGGATCGTTTCTGGAAGCAGAGAGGGTGCAAAAGAAGCAGCCAGTGGAAATCGCTGCGTCCAAAGCGGCGTTGTCTGCATTGCTGGACTACATCTATGATGGGCAGCCTGAAGTGCCAGTGGAAGTTGGCCTAGAAGTCCTACGACTGGCAGAGGCTTACGACTTGCCAAAGTTAGCAGGTGAAATTGAGGCAGGTATTGTTGCCTGCTCGGACAGCAGTGTCGCCCTGCAAGTTCTACAAGAAACACATGGCCTTCATTCTCTGAGGGTTGCATGCGAAGACAAAGTGGCAGAGGATTTTGAGACTTGCAGCCAGCATCCAGATTTTGGGAAGCTCAGTGCTAGTCAGCTGGCCAGAATTTTGAGGAGAGAAGATCTGGCAATCTCACGCGAAGAAGAAGTGGTGAATGCAATATTTACTTGGAATAAAGTTTCCAAGGACGGACATGCCTCTTTGGGCATGCTGCTGCAAAATGTACACTTCCAACTACTTTCCATTGAGAATTTGCTTTTCCTTAGTCGTACAAGTCTCTCCGGTCAAAGTGGTGATGACCTGTACAGAGAAGTTGAGGATGCTTTGACCTTGCGCAAGAGAACCCAAAGTCCAGGCACTTTTCAGTCGAAGAGGTGTTGTCTCCAGCATTGGTCACCATTCTTAGGTGCTAGCACTGAAGCTTCAGGGAGAGAGGTACTGTCCTTGCCATGTTCCTCTTTGTGCTGGCACCAAGGTGAACTTATTGCTTCGCGTTTTGAGGGTAGCATCCTTAGTTGGAAACCCGGTGACCCTTCAAGCTGCCTGCGACGTGTGGCGGGTGAAGGCGCCACTGTGGCTGGAATCAATGACTTGGGATCTTGTTGTGACCTGGCCATCTCGCCCAGCGGGGAGATGTTCGTGTCAGATTGGAAGGATCGGAAGCTTCTTCGGTTTCAAAACGGTTCTGGAGACTTAGTTGTTGGCAACGCTGATGCAACGGCCCTGTTTTCCTCGCCCAGTGGTGTGCTGTATGTGTTGAGCCAGTTTGGGAGAACAGTGCAAAAGTTGGTGGGTTCGACGCTCCAGACAGTGATTGCTTCCGAAAGCCTTTCGGCAGACATGCAGTTCGAAGCACACGAAATCTTTGTAACAAAGGAAGAGGTGATCTATCTTTTGGATAATCTGGATAACAACCGTCGCATTCTGTGCATCAATCCAGCTGAGTCGTTGGAACCTGTTGTGGTGGGCCAAATCCCAACTGAGGGCCGGTCTTTCCTCACGGACCTGTTTGTAACTGACGGTGGAACAATCTATGTTGCTGACTGGGATCAAAGAAAGGTGTTGGCCTTCCACCCGGATAGCCCAACTTTCACAGAAGTCTTGCAGTGCCCAGATGGATTTCACCCTGTCGCACTGCTGGTTCAGGACAGATCGCTGTATGTGAGCATGGTGACACCCCAGGTGAACGGAGAGCCCTGGACAGGGAAGGTTTACGAATATTTGTTGCCTCCTGAACTTCAGCTTCAGTAGTGAAAAAAGATCCTGTGGTTGGGGGCTTCTGGGGGGCATGGGTCAAGAGCACCTATTCACCAGGGCACCTGACTGTGATGCCTTCCATACTTGAGGACATCTTGGGACCCTAACATCATTTCAAAGAACCGTAACACCAAGGCGGGGGCCCTACATAGTTAAGTTGGTTTATAACTTATAACTTATAACTAGGTTGACTATGGTCTGTGATAGGTATGACTTGTATCACTTGAATCTGAGCCTGTGGTTTCAAGCTTTTTGGGTCAAGCTCCGTGCATGTCCCTGCATTTGCCCGATCTCATCCGCGAGATTCATTACTTTTGGGGTGGCAGCGCTACCTTGGATTGCTCTGGTCTGGGATTTGGAACCATTGCTCTTTTGGTGCTGATCAGTTGGGTCTTGGGATTTTTCACTGGCGGCCTTCTAGCCATTTTGATATTTTCCATAACTGCCGAAAAGGTTTTACTGTTTCTCCACCAGGGTGGTGCTCAGTTACTTGCCCCTACAGTTTCGGGGGAGATTTCTTCAAGGGCCCTGGAGCTCCGAACCAGACTGCGCCAGTATCGAGCTGGTGACTGAGCAGTCCAGATCCAAGCGGCGGCACTGAGGAGATTGAGTTCTTGTTTGGGCAGCTGCAGATCACTGTTAGGAACACAGGGACCCGCGCTACACGAGAAATTGTACCCCTTGCTGGCCCCCGGGCCCTAGCCTGTTCAGCTGGCAGCCAAGGTGAGACAGCATCATCGTGTCCAGCATCCGCTTCTACGAGGTGGGAGGTGATTGAGCCCGATTTTGTTTGGGACAGTGCTTGGGAGCGAGCACTTCTCCAAGCCACTTCCGCGGCCGAGCTGGCACAGATTGACATTTCACACTGTGCGCCATCTACTCAAGCAGCTGAGGAGCAAAGATCTAGTGTGGACACCGCGCTCGTTTGGCTCGTGCTTTGCGGGCGGGTGTGTCAGCGGGCATCAAGTTGAACTCAGGTGGTGCAGTTGAGCCTTCACCGGCTACACCTTTCCCCAACACTGTCTTTGTGGTGTTGCGAGGAGCCCCTGGTTTTGATCCTTGTGTGACGTCTGAGGCGTCTTGCTACTTCCAGGTGGTGCAAGATCAGTCCACTGATCCTCCTCGGCCTTTCCATCGGTTGTTGGCTGAGCGTTTCTCACGCCTTTGCCACTCGAGCCGAGGCCGAAGCCTAGGTGATTGGGGCAAGAGTTCCATGGCCACCAGCTCCGCGGGTCGAGCCATCACGGAGGAGGGGGTGCTGAAGCAGCTCAGAGCGCTGAATCCAGAGGCCATTATGGCGATCCGTGATCTTTGTAGTCAAAACCACAGAGCTGGAGGGGTGATGTTTGTATGCCGGAAGCTCCGGAGGTCGAAGAGATTCGAAGAGTTCTTCACTGCAGACGGCGAGACCTACGCCCTCAATGCATGTGTTGTCCAGTTGGAGTCTGCCAAAGGCAAGCATCTGGGAGAAGGACAAGGTCTTTTAGTGGATGCTCCCTGGGAGGCGTTGTCAAACTTCAGGCGCCCGCTGTCACTTCGTGGCGATCCTCTGAGGCTGCTGATACGCTTCACCTGCGACAACAACGTTTGCAGGCCCAGTCGCGAGTCTGTTTGGCTGCTGACACCTGGATTTCGCAGCTCATGGATGAGGATACCGCCCAGGAGTATGCCACCTGCGTCGAAGACTTCGTTCCACAGCGGAGATGGCCACTGCGCAGTTGCTGGACAGAATCCAAGAGCTAGAGGGGCAGTTGCCTCGGGCTCAGATGCTTGGACGCATCGGCGCCAGCCCAAGTCTGCCGCACCTCTGCCGGCACATTGCTAGGCAGTTTGCCTCCGAGTGCTCCGTCTTTGGACGCCGGGACCTTGGAGAGGCTGAAAATACTGGCCTGGTGTGGGCAGCCAAAATTGCTCAGCACGAGCGACAAGACCGTCGACAGGCTACCACACTCGGAGATGCTGGGCGATCCGAAGGAGGAGGTCGACGAAGGCGAGCCCCTCGACCCCTCGCAGTTTCAGGACCATGCAGAAGATGGTTTTTCTCCAGATGCAACAGCTCGCCCTGATGCAGAAGCAGCTGCCATCCAAGCAGCCCACAGATGCACAAGCTGCGCTGACGACTGGCTCGGACAGCAGCACAGGGTCCACCAATGGGATCGAGGGCTGCCTGCTCGGGAAGCCTTTGTCAAGATCAGTGACAATCTGCAGCAGATCAGCTCAGTGGTGGAGACCAACGCTATGCTGGAGTTGGGATTGCAGGATCGGCATTCAACACCCGGACTTTTGAGGGATTACTTGGAACGACGAGTTCCGCTGGGCACATACCGGCTACTCACTCAAGTCGGCTACTTGATGGCGCATGCCTACGAGCTGGGAGCCCGGACGGGCAATGTGGAGCTGAAAGGCTTCGAGGCGAAGGGCATGGTCTGGTGGAGCAGACGGCGTTGGACGAGGGGCGCACCGGTCTGTCTTGGCTTCTTACAGGACTCCAAGAGCCCAACTATGGCCAAATCCAGCAGACCAGGGCCAGAAGCTTGGTCAAGCCGTTCAGCCGGCTGAGTGCCCCTTCATGGATACCAGCCAATGTCGGCTACCTCCGGGACTTGGATTTTCTGGAAGGGCGCATCAAGAATGTGGAGAAGGATGGCGCCAAGCCGACCCGGGAAAAGGAGTACGAAGCTGCTCCAAAACCCAAGGCAAAGTGGTCCAACCGCCGCAAGCGGGGAAAGAACGACACCAGCAGCGGGGGGGGCGAAGAAAGCGGAGCGAGCTGAGGACCAGTGGCCGGTTGCCTGGCAAGTGCATTTTGTCCTCCTTGCCGGATGCCTTCATTCCTTTGCTGAGCTCCTCTACGTCAGCACGGGCAGGTTCTGCCTCTACTGTGATACACGGTCGGGAATGTTAGGTAATTTGGCCCGACTTGATAGCACTGCCGGCTTGACCGCGTGCCCATCTCCCTTCTGGTCCGAGCCCCGAAAAGCTGGCACCGTCAGTCTCAGTGGCTGACAGTCCACCGGTTGCCGACATACCCGGCGCACGGGTGCCCAATGAACTGAGCTCATTAGAGCCGTGTTGCAAAGCGCTGGCAGTTCTCCTACTTCTTTTGGAGAGTTTTGGATGCGCAGCATGAAGTTGACTCGCAATATGTTGTTGGTTTGGGTGAACGCTCTGACCTTTGGCCCTGTCCTCCCCCAAGGTGGTATTGGACGGGCAGCCTGCATCTCTCGCCATATCGGCGGAAGCGGCGGCGGCACCTTGAGACATGTGCAAGGTGTTTGCAGATGGTGGTCGTCGGTCTGAATTGGCTGACACTGGGGCATGCGCAGACTCCTCCCGCGCATGCGTGTTTGGGCGCACCGATTTCTAGTGCGCAGCATGAAATGCTGGAAAGACTGGAGGAGATGCTAGATCATTTCCTACGTGCAACTGCCACACCATTTGCTAAACATTGGCCGAGCGGCAGAGAAGCTGGGTAATTTGTGCAAGTTGTCCTTCGAGCTCGGATCTTTTGATGCGATTTCTCAGGGGGATATCCAAAGTTTTTTTTTAAAAGTTACTATTTCCAAGGAGATTGATCCATATGGTTCAGGAGGAAAGCACTTTGCTCCCTCTTTGTCCGAACATGTGCAGCGTGGATCCGAGTTTGGCGGGCTTTCGCGCGCCACTATGGGGCGTATGCAAAGCTGTTTACAGAAGTTTGAAGAATGGCTCCAAAATGAGTTGGGCATCAATCTGGAGGCGGCTCTTTGCTCGGCCGAGATGGCGAATCTGGCACTTCGGGGCTATGGGGAGTGGCTTTTCTCAGGCGGCAAGCCTAGATATTTGTTTGTCTACACAGTGACCGGTGTCCAGCGATTGAGACCTGAGATGCGATCGCTTCTATCTGGTGCCTGGCACATTGATCGCATGTGGCAGCTGGAGGAACGAACCTGGTCAGCGCCGAGCCGTTCTCTCTGCAGCTATGGTCAGCTATTTTGTGTCTTGGGCTGCTGTGGGGTTGGCAGCGTTTCGTGGGAACCATTGCGCTGGGCTTCGCTGGCATCTGCATCCCAATGAGTTCATCCAGTTGATTACGCAGGACCTGGTCTTCCCTGAGGATGCCTTGCTGCAGCAGCATGCGTGCATTGATGACACTTCAGTCATCTTGTTGGCTCGGCTGATATTTGCGCAGCTGCCGCTGTCCGAAAGGTCGTTTGGCGCCAGCATTGCCGTTTTCCAATGACAGTGGAATGCCATCCTGGATTTCTTGCAAATCCCTCGGAGACAGTCGTCCCGGGGGGCCACCCCTGGCGTCTTTCGGAGATCTGGCGCAACCCAACTTTATTTGGAAACAGAGGACCTTCCTCGCATTGCCTGGCGCGGACGGTGGTCAAGGACTCGTACACTGGAATTCTATATCCAAGAGGTAGCGGCTCAGTTGTTCATGCACTTTTTGCCGCAGCAGTCCAAGGAGAAAATAGCATTTCTCGAAAAGCATGTGTTTCTGGCGCTTGCTTCTCTTCATCCTGAAGTGTTTAGATGATATTTGTAGTTGTTGCACAGCAGGAAGTTGGAGTTGGAAGAAGATTCTAGCTTGCATGTTTTGTGTAACTAGTAACTGAAGGAAGGGCATACTAAAAGAGGAGCCCATCTATACCTTCAGAGATGGCCAGCTTTCATTTTCCGGTGTGCAATGCACTGCTGGGCATCTTTGCGCAGGCAAGTTGAAATGGAGTGATGACTTGTATCACTTGAACCTGAGCCTGTGGTTTCAAGCTTTTTGGGCCCGTGCCCGCCCCACTACGTTCCCTGGAAGAAGATTCTAGCTTGAATGTTTTGTGTAGCTGAAGGAAGGGCATACTAAAAGAGGAGCCCATTTATACCTTCAGACCTGGCCAGCTTCCATTTTCCGGTGTGCAATGCACCGCTGGGCACCTTTGCGCAGGCGAGTTGAAATGGAGTGATAGATATATATATATATTTATAATATAATATATATATATGTATATGTATATATATATATTTATTTGTAGACACTGGGATTTATGAACCAACAAACAAACAAAAGGCACCTCGAAGGAATCAAATTTTGGATCCCCCGCCTTAGCCAAAGACGGCCTACGTCCCAGGTATCGATCAGTGTTCTTTTCCCAGAAATCCCTGGTTTTTCCCATTCAAATGTGTTCCTCATTATCTGTCAACCCTGGAAACCAGTTCCAGATAAATTCAGCAACCTCCACAAAAATCATCAAAAATCGCAGGATTCTTCCATCACTCACCATGATTGGCGG